TATTTAGTTTGCTTAATAAAAGAACAAGGTATATACCTGTTCTATAGGAAAGGTCACTTTAAATGACTTCTGTTGTGATCTGGCGCTATAGAGAAAATATAATTAAATATTAGCTTGCCCTGCAAGGGGGGCGGGGGGTGCCGTTGTGGGGGCGGGCCGCCCCCCTAAAATAATGGCAGGGGAAACACTGTTTATGATGGTTATTGTAAACATTCTGAAGTGGAAGTGCATGCATTGTTGTTTGTTTCTGGTGGATGTGGTAGAAATGGATGTTAGGCAACTCTAAAAAAATGTTTACTGGAATGAATCAGACCTACACCATGCTGTTTGTAATAAATCAATGCAATTAACCAGACAGTGTCAAAATGCAGCTGATATTGACATCAATACTAAATTTGAAGTTAGGAGCTATTGTATTTCCTAACCATGACTCACAAGACACATTAGAAGTCTATTGGTTCAGAGATATGTGGTGGTTCACTGTGCTTGCAACTGCTGCAGTTTAACCACTGAGCTCCAGTTATTTGTATATTCTGCACTGCTGTTTTTAATCTAGCCTGGTATTGGTGTAACCCTTTTGCAGGCCACAAAAGCCTCCTCAACGATTCTTTTCATTGAGGGGGTGATGTGTATTGCATAACGTTAGTTCTTTGCTTTTGAAAATGAATCTGAGAAAACACAATATACCAGCTGTGGCAGCCTGTAAAAACTTTGAGAGGTGGGCTTTATAAATCTAGACCTCCAGTATTATAGAAAACGGAAGGTTACTTAATAAACCCTACAAAATTATTGTATCTGATTTCAAATACAACAAATAAAAGCGTTGTATCCGCTTTGCAACATTTCCAATTAAATTGCCGTTTTAATGTATTTATTAATGTCACCCACAGCCTGACCTTTCTTGGCTGGTGTATCTCAGATGATATTTTTGGCAACGTGTTGCACCTCAGAGGAAATCAGTTGCAGAATAACAGAGGCAGATGTCCAGTGGTCATTTATTTAACTTTCTTGACACGCCAGAGCATATAGATTTTCTCTCCTTGCAAGACATTCCTCTTAAATTGGTTCATCAGTGGAATTCTTTTGTTAGCCGTAGAGAAGTGCTGTGCTTTTGTGCTGGTGACTGGCCGGGGTTCATCCAGACCACATTCCAAATCTCCCTCTGAGGATGACAATAATTAATATTCATCAAGATAATAAGGTTGTTTTCACTCATTCAGCTCAGTTGACTTCCATTTGTCTGGTTCGTTGGTTGCCATAGTGCGATACCGCAGTGATTTAGCTACTGTTTATTAGAATATAAAGTACCGCCCATCATCGCCCGTTTGCTAAGCACCACATGTTCGCACTCCGTTTTGGGATAGATCCATAAGATTAGTGAGTCACATCCCGAGTTAATTCAAGTTCCAGTTTGTTCAGATGAAGTCATGAGCTTGAAAATTAACCGTGTTCATCACGCAAATAAGCAGACTGCACTGGGTCGTTTATATTATGATGGTGTTTAAATAAGAACAACATGTTTGATTCGACAGCCACAACGAAACATTGAGAATCGAATAAATCATAGATAAAACTAGGAGGCGGCTGAATGCTAGACAGGAAGTGTAGTTGATTCTGGTGTGAGCCGAGCCGAAGAAAGGTTTAGAGCGTCAACCATTTTTTATTAGTTACTGGACTGAGTGAAATTCATAAAGTGTGCAATGAAAATAGCTGCAGAATTGATGTCTGACCCTCAGACAGAGCACAACCAGATCGAACGCCAAAGGGCTTTTAAGACATTCCAAAGATTATGTCACCAGACTCTCATCCCAGTGGACGATCAGTTAATTTCTCAGCTCCATCCCTGACCTCGGACCGTCTCGGGTGAACAGAGATCCATTCGGATGTTAGGAGGAAAAAAAAAAAACGGGGTCGTTGCGGAGTCAACCACTCACAACTTTACATCAGTCTTGATCTCATCCTTTTGGCTTAGGCAAGGTTTCTCTGATGATCAGACAGTTCCAGTACCTCTGCTGTGGTGTAGTTAAACCCATCCTTACAGGTCTCTGGTGGAGCACTAAAGCCGTATGCAGTTGCAGCATCTGGTCTCCAGAGTGGTGTACAGAGTGAACGGCAGAGATTGCATGCCAGAGGGCTGTTGCCCCTGCATCTGCGTTTCTCATTAAGGTTCTGAAGGGAGGTTTGTCTGTACACATGTCCTGTAAAGCCATGTAGGGTCAGTTTGACCTCCTTCTTGTATTTACAGAAAAGGTGTAGGTTCGTATCCCACATGAACTATCACCTTTGTGCCTTTGGGTTATGCCTGCAAAAATTTGAGAAGTTATACATGTTTGTTGCCCCTTGTGTGTTCAGTAATTATGGATTTGAAAGTATATAGTTATATACTTTATACAAATAATAAAAATAATAATATTATTTATGCAAATTATATTTTTATTATATTTTTATTTTTAATCGCACTTTATTAAATTTTATAGGTTTTTATAAATGTATTTATTTTTATTTTTCATATTATTTTAGGTTTAGGGTTTGGGTAAGGGGTTGTGCTTTATGGTTAGGTTTAGGTTTCATAGGTTTCCCTTAGGAGAATCAAGTTACACTCATTACAAATGTCATTATCATTATCCCATTTATGTTTAAGTAACATTTCGAAAAATTCATGGTTGTCATGTTTTCTGCACTGATTTAGGGGTTATAAAAGTGCGCAACTCAACTATGCCATCTCTTTTGAGTTATTATGGCTTCTCATTATTGCCTAGACCGTTTCCAATTCATTGTCATTAAATATTCCTTTTCATCCTGAAATGTTTTTGGAAGTAAAATGGTTCGTGAACATTGTTTCTTCTTGACTCTTGAATTCTACAGATTTGCCCCCAGAATCTGTTCTGACCTTGTATTTTGTGGATGTCAATTAAAAAGACAAAGATTTAGCTTTAGATAGTACATAAACATAAAATGGATAACTGTCAAAGTAGCATTTGTTATAGGCGTAACTTGAATCTCCTGAGGGACAGAGGAAGACAAAATACTGCAGCTACGGCTTGTACGTCTCAGTCTGATATGGATTTGTTTGACTGTGGGGGCAACAACTCAAATATACGGTTCTCCATATGGCAACAGGCATACCGGACATGATACCTCTCTTTGAAACAATCTGCAAATGGGATGGTACAGTCTGTGTTCAGTTAAAACTACACACGGTGAATTTCATAAACTCTGTACTGAACTCGTCCACTCGTTGCTACCAGATGTTTCCAATTTCGCACCGTAACTGAAGCTGTATCAGCTGGTGTCATGTTCAAAGGACCGAGCAGCACGTGTGGTTCTTTGTTTTGTTCAGCGCGCAGACCTCCTTCCACAAACATTTCCACAAACACACTCAGCAGGTTGGAGGGTGTGGGAAAAAGATGGTCCCCTGAAGCCAGAACATCCTAAATGCTGGCCAAACCAAGGCTGATAGAGCCTCCTTTTTTCCCATGGCACAAATGTATCTAATTTAGATTAGCAGTGCACGTACATATCTGAGGCCCGCAGATGGTTTTCTTCTTTCCCACCAGCTCCCGTGGAGCACATCTACCGTGGCTTATACTGGACTACTGTATTGAGAACGTAGGTTCAACTCAACCATTGAGTCAAGGTAAAGGGATGGTGGCACACAATGCATTTAATGAAGCCTTGCATCCTTAATTGCTGGTTTATTATGAGTATGGATGGAAATTAAACATAATTTTGATGGTTTGATTTGTCTGGTTCCTCATCGGTTCTAGTTAAAGGGGTCATATGATAATAATGAAGAACATTATTTGGTGTAATGAAATGTGTTTATGCGATTTAAGGTTAAAAAAACATTATTTTCCACATACTGTACATTATTGTTTCTCCTCTATGCCCCGCCTTTCTGAAGCGCGTCGATTTTTTACAAAGCTCATCGGTCTGAAAAAGCGAGGTGTGCTCTGATTGGCCA